AGGGGATCCAAACTTAAGATCCTTCTTCCTCTGATTATTAAACGACTATTTTAAAAATAAGATTGTTTTTAAGTACAAAAAGTGTACACCAATGAAAAGGAATATATTACTTTATATTTCTAATCATTCCTTCTACGTATTTATTTATATTTATTCATAAATGTTAACGATGTAAAAAATTTTTAAAACTAACTAAAAACAATTTGAAAACGATAAGACAATCGTCCTTTTTCGTTATTTCAAACATTTTAAATGATAAGGAAATTGCAATATACGTACATTTCATACTTACGCGCACATATTTCAATCAGGAATATGAAAATAATGTGTACCGATATACATATAAACACTTTCAATTTATATGCACATCAACAAAACATAAATCTTTCCGGTTTTGTTTCTTGAAGTACCTCGCTTTAAATTACATCGTGTTTCTCTACATGGAAATAACAAAAAACAAGGAAACTAATCGTTTTTTGTTAACCGCTACAAACCAACATTCATTGCCATCTAGATCCAGTATCCCCAGTATTAATCTGCCCAGTATAAGTTAAACATTCGAACGAAAAAGATGTTCTTTAAACGATTTCCCTTCACTCTTGTTACATTAATAACGCTTACCACATTCATAGTCAGGTGAGTATTTAATTTGAATTTAATTTCCTGCATCACCATTGTTCTGTTTTAATTATCATTATTATTTTAAACAGTTCTATCGCCAATGGTCCGTGTGTTCGGCAATTAACACAACCATTCGACCATAGCGAAGAGCCTACTTGGGATGATCGAATTAAATTGTTATATTTTGTTGACATACACGCCGGAAGAATATATTCATATGATCCTGTCACAACAATATTGAATCATATTCAACTTGACGGCGATGTTACACCCATTATTCCGACAGTGTATGATACCCATGTATTTGTGGCAGGGCTAAATAGATCGCTTGTTGCTTTACGATGGTATCCTAAAGGTAGTAGATTGGAAGCTGTTGGTACTCTTACAACAGTGGCAAAACAATTTCCAACTAGGTTTCTCTATATATTATGCATGTATTATAGATATACACCTTCCTCTTGAATCACTCTATCCACTAAAAAAAACCGCATCAAAATCCGTTACGTAGATTTAATGATCTAAGCATACATAGGGACAGACAGCGGAAAGCGACTTTGTTTTATACCATATATAGTGATAGTGATGTAACCAAGTGGACAAATTCAAAATTCAAAACAAGAAAAAAACACTAAATTTTTTAAACCCCTGTCTAAAGATGATTATAACGATTCAATTTAACTGCGAACTTCTCAATAAATTGATTTTATTCTGATATATATATATATGTTTTATTTGGGAACCTTAGAACGTATCCCCTATGATTCCATACTAATTACCATTCCATATCCATGGTTTCTGTATTCGCGGCATATTTATGGAACGTACACCCCGCGAATAAA